AAATCATTTAGCTTCTAATCTAGCCATATATTTATCAATGATTCCATCAGTTTTAAATTTTTTTTTAAGAATCCATTTACATCCTATAGCCTTCCTATCTTTAGGAAGGTCTACAAGTTCACATACTTGATTTATTTCAATAGAGTTAATTTCATCATCCATAGCATGGACCCATTCAGATGATTAAAGTGAATTGATGACTTCACTATAAATACATGGTTCATCTATCTCATCCTCATATAAGAATACGTAATATTCATCTAAATGGAAAGGATGAGCTCTAGACCTTTTCTATCTAGATTAGGGGACTCAATAAGGTCAAAATCACTAGTTGTTGGTATAAAGTCCATGGGATTGCCTTGATCTTTATTATGTTCTTATTTAAATAAGTCAACGTCTTTATTTTTATTCTTTTCGTTATCCAAATTTTCTAGAAAATAGGCATCCCTACTCTCAATTAAGCTTTTATTGTCATGATCATAGAACCTATATCCTTTAGAATTATCACAATATCCTATAAATGAATATTTAATTGTTTTACTGTGGAGTTTGTTTCTTTGGTGATGTGGGATGAGCACATGTGCAAGTGATCCCCAAATTTTTAATATTATTAGGTATGGTTTTCTTCCTGTCCAAAGTTCATAAAGGATAAATTCTATAAACTTGGTTGTCAATCTATTTAAAATGAACATAGTTGTACTAATGGCTTCTCTCTAAATAATTTGAGTTAAGTTGGCATGGCCTATCATAGATCTAACCATTTCTATTAAAGTCCTATTGCGTCTTTCTGCTACTCCATTTTGTTGTGGGGTGTATGGTACTTTACAAAAATGGATCCGGAGGTGTTTTCTTCTCCCCCATCGGTCCTTAGAATTTTTATGTCTCCTTAATTGATTTCCACTTCTGTCTTATATTCTTTAAATGTTTCCAAAGCATCAGATTTTCTATTTATAAATATCCATACCTAAAGTAATTATTTATGAAGGTTATAAAATACTCCATACCTCTATATGTCTTAACATTCAAAGGTCCACATATATTTGAGTGGATTATATTAAGCAATTCTTGTGATTTTTGTCATTTAGAGAATGACTTCTTAGACAATTTTCTTGATAGGTATAGTTCACAAGTTTGGAACTGAATTTCTTTAACATTAGGTATTAATCCTCTTTTTACTACTTTTTGTATTTTATTTTTGTTAATATGTCATAATCTCAAGTGCCATATATATGCATCATTTTCAGCCACTTTCATTGCCACATTGATATAAGAAGAAGTAGCATCATTCATTCCATTAACAACATTTAGACGATACAAATTTTTACCGTTCTCCCCCCAAACATAAACTCGACCATGTTTCCCAATAGACACATTTCCAGACCTGAAACGGACATCATAGCCTTTTTCATCTAACCTAGGGACAGAAATAAAGTTGCGCCTCGTATGAAGCTTATACAAAGTGTTAGTGAGGAGAAAATTTACATTCCTAAGCACCTCTAGCTTGTATGTATCAACACCTAGCACATCACATAAAGAATCATTTCCCATGTATATCCATTGATCGCCTGTTTTGATTTCTTTTAAATCGACAAAACCATCATTAGTTTTTGAAACATGTCTGGTCAATGCAGAGTCCACCCACCATCCTCTCATGTCATGATCAGCCACCATAGATTCAGAAACCACACAAACTAAGTCAAATTTCTTGTTATTCTTGTAGTTACTATTTTGTCCATTGTTCCTGCGGTAGCCATTATTGAAAATATTTGTATTTGGACATTTAGGTTTAATATGCCCTATCTCTCCGTAGTTGTAATATTTTGGCGGGTTATTGTAGCCATTTCCACATTGTGGTTTGAAAAATTTACCTTTCCCTTTAAATAGATTGTTGTTATTTCGGTTATTGTAGGGTCTAGGGTGGTCACTTTTAGAGGAATTTTGAAATTTTGGGCAAAGTGTAATTCTGCCTTTTCCTTTTTATTTCTTCTTTCTTCCTCTATCTTCACGTGCATAGGCAAGCTCAACATGGTAATTATTTGGGATGAGTGATTAAGAGCAATGACTACAAGTTCCCATGACTGTGGCAAACTATTCAACACAGTTGACACTTGCATACGATCGGGAATGAGGTTTCCTGTCGCAGCAAGGCCTTTAGCAAGAACTATCATTTTATTAACATGCTCTACCACATATTCATTTTCCCTCATCCTACATGAATTGTATTTCTCAAACAAAAGTTAATATGGGTTTCAGATGCAGATTCATATTTTTCAATCAAAGCTTCCATCATTAATTTGGATGTTTCATAACCTTCAAAAGCCCTTATCAAATCATTGTCCACAAAAGTAAGCAATGTAGTTTTTGCTAATTTGTTATTCCCCTCCCATTTCACAAGTTCTCTTCTACTATGGGCAGAGGGGTTTAAACCCAATTCAGGTTTAGTAAAAGTCAAAATGTAGTAAATCTTGTCTTGAATCAATTTGTAGTTTATTTTTCTTTTCTATATATTGAAATTTGACCCATTTAAGGTTTTTGGTTTTAGATAGTTTACTCATCACCAATCTAGCAACCATGTTATCAAAGAAATATAGGAATTTCAACAAGTTCAAGGTTTAGATCAACGACTACTTTATTGATGAACGATTTACCAATTTTTCAGATGATGATAGCGGCACCCTTTAGTCGATGGTGAGTCACAAATCTCTTAAGGGAACATCAGGTATTTGCCTCCAAAGAATCACCGATGATTACCAACTTGTTGTGCCTTAGGTGTATCCGGCCTTTTAACAAACAGTTGGCATAGCAGCCCAAAAAGATCCGTGAAGGAATAGGTAAACAAAGATTATTTGCATTGATTTTCAGCTCCAAAAATAAGCGTTCCCTCAGTACATATAATGGTTTCCAGCAAGGACAAAAAGAAATTGAGCGAGAAAAAAAATGGAAACCACAACTTCCCAAAATCTTCAGTGGGTTGAGTGAGAATGACGTATGGTAAATAAAAAAATTGACGTCCCAAGATTTAAGATGGGAAAGGTTGAACCGGAGAGATGGCAGTAGTAAAAAAATGACGTCCTTGGTTGCTGCGTAAACTTGTTGAAAGAGGGATGAAAACAAAAAAACAAGATTTTCCACCCAAAAAGATTCTCAAGGATTTGCAAGGGAGAGATTTGCCTTGAGGCAACAGAAAGAAACGTGCATTCAACCCACTGAGGTAACAAAAAACACGCAATAAGCAAGTATATAAAAGAAAGAAAGAAACCAATAGTATACTACCTTAGCAGAGAGAGAGAGAGAGAGGGGCATTTGAAGAAGGGAAAAAAAAAAAATGTATTCAATGGATACAAAGAACCGTAATTCACAGGGGATAAGCACAAGGCAGAATAAATCAATGGACAAAATAAAAACACCTGAGGACAAAAGAAGAGCACATAATACAAATGAAAATGTTCAAGTAAAGACAAAATAAAATATTTGCTTTGAGGTAAGAAAAAACAGTGGAGCTTTGCCTGCGTACACTTGCTGGCAATACCGTGCCCCCTGTGAACGAAAGGTAAAGAAAGAAACAATGTTCCGAAGTTCGATAGCGCCCAAAAATACCCGCTCTGATACCAGTGAAGAAGAAAAATATTTATGAAAGGATAGAGAGAAAGATATAAAAAGAATTTTGATGTAAAGCTTCTGGATAGTTGGAGAGATGAGCAGTGGCTCTGAGATTTTTCTCTGTAAATGGGTGAGTGAACCCTTTTTACAAGCATTGGAACTTATTCCCTTGCTACATTTCGCAAGTTTTGCATCCAATGGTCCAGATTTCTCTTTGTCCATGTCAATAGCTAAGCATTACTATTTTATGATTCTTTCTCTCTACCTTAAAGAAAATCGTTTGATTTAATGTGACCGTTAGAATATCATTGAAGGGTGGTTAAGAAAAAAGAAAAAACGAGAATAAAATATACCACAAAAGATAGTTAAATGATTTGAATGCAATAAGAGAATTATAGAAGTATATAATATAATTAAATTTAATTTAATACATTTAAAAATAAAAAGTAAAAGAGAGATCATGAACACTATGATGGTCATGAAGCCTTATTAACCATACTCCAACATGTCCATGTAAATGAACGCATACTGCAGTAAACTAGAAGGCTGGCACAGTCATTTGGGGGAAAGCAGATAAGAGACCATGGTGTTAGGATCAGCATGACACCTTTGTACCTCTAATATCTCTATTTGCAAATTTTGTCTGACTTCTTCAACAGAGCTAAGGAAGAATATTATAATCTCTTCTGTCAAGCGTCTATAGTTAGCAAGCTCCCTGAGTCTTCAGGCCTTAAATATCCAACCCTGGAAATCTCATTTAGTTAGGCGTAGAAGATTGTTGTTCTCAACAAGGACTCAATTCTAGTGCGATGTCTTCACTTTCAAAACGTCAAGACGCGGTATGTTCTCCTCTTATCTTCCACATCATTGCTTCTTATTTCAGAGGACTCGAACCCAACCTCTTTTGTGGTGACTACTCAAGGGAGTGCAGGGGGGCCATGATGCGGATTGAGGGAGTCAGCCACTTTCAATCAGAGGTCAATAGGAATAACCAAAGAGGACCTTCACAGCCACTACTCAGACCCTTCACCAGTATTTCCTCGAGAATTTGGTTTTCTGCGGACTCGTTTTTTTTTCCCCCCTTTCCCACAAAATCCACCCTATTTCACTCTCTCTGCTAATGATCTCTGGTCCCTTCAACCTATCCCATACCTCACCAAATCACCCATGGTGTACCTTGTGTGTCGCATACAACATCTGTGTATGAAGGAAATTCCCTCCTACCCATGATCAAAATGCTTCATCTTTTAAGTATGCTCTTTAGCCCATTCAACTGCAGTGATGTTCAATTAAATACATTTATCTAGCAATTTGAGGGAAACCCTAATCATGAAGATATACACAAACAGCAGCAGAAGCGCTCAAAACATTGAGCTCTTTCCCGACAAACCCACAGTTACTCATTTCAGAGAATACCACCACCATTCAATACATGCAAGTTTTCAATTCATGCAAGTAAATTCTAAATTGAGTGATTTTCTAAACTATTTATACATGTTTTACACCATAATAAGCACAATGTGGTACAACAATGTTTAACACGTTTCTGCACTTTGACATCTAGTTGGATGAAGCTTTGAATAACAGACTATAACGAAGTTCGCTTTCACATCGACGTGAACTGTGTAAGGGAATCATCATCCATGAATACCACAACATTAACGAGGCTGGCAATAGATATTTGTGTAATTTACTGCTGACATCCACATGACCACAATTGGTAATCAGTGGCTTCCCCATCTCCATTTCTTCAGATATTTACACGGTTGTGTGAGAAAGGCTTTAGCCAATTAACTCAAAAAGCATCACCCTTCTCCAATCGATCTACTTCTTTCTCCCACTTTAGTCCAAACATCTGCCTGCCAAATGGCACCATGAGATTGTACCTTAAGACCTGCTCATCCATTACAATTCCCAAGTTAACAGCAAACCCTGTAAGGCCCTTTCTATTAGCTAGTACAGTGGGTTTTCGTGACGCACCTTATTATTAATGCCATGCATCTGTGCCTTGAGAGCTTCCGAATCTTCTTTCCACTTTTCGTCACTTGTTCGCATCTCCCAAGCCTTCTTCAAGGAGGAGTGCCATTCTGCCATGAGGCTCCGGATTTCCTTATTCAGTTCGACCCACTCTGGAGCGCATCCGTTTTTTGAGAGTATCCTGTATAAAGTGTCCTCTGCAGGATCCACGTGTGGGTTTGTTCTCAAATCAAGGGGTTTCCCTTTTCCTGGCAAGTTCTCAAATTCTCCCTCTATCATGGAACGATATATCCTTTGCTCCACCACATTTGTGATATCGGTTTCAGACCTGCTCAACAGAGCAGATGAGGAAGTGTTAAGCCCTTTACCCATATGCTCAATTTGTCATTCAATTCCAAATGTAACGCCAAAGAACTTGATTGACAGTCATTCACATAATGACACAAGGAAATCCAGTAGAATACGAATTTAATGGCATATAGAGTTCTTGATACACACACAGCTGACAGACATGGGATAATAATAATGGAAGAATCATATTAAAGGTCCAAATCCAAATGATTATCTGAGAAGAGTTGTGGAATTATACAGAAGATCTGAATGTCAGATCAATTAGCGGAATGTAGGAATACACACAAAAGTTGAAAGAGTGATAACCAAAGAATCATATTTCAGAAAGCAAATAAGAAAATATCAAAACACATTCTGTGCAATCTACTTTGAATCATAAATGGATAATTAAATTGTTTGAAAGTACCACATGGATAAGATGACCATTGTCAATGTCAGACTACAAGTTAATTTCTTTAGAGATACAAAAGCATCATTTTGAGTAGCAACAGGAATAGGATTGAAGAATAGAGTTCTTTTTTTCCGTTTACAACTTATATCCCTAAACTCTGAAAGCTTAACTCGATGCTTCTCAATATACTTCAAAAATTCATTACGAACATTCATGCAATGCTCGTGTTACAGTATGCATGGACCTTTAAACTCTTCTGAATCTTCTGAACATTACTGCAATATGCATATTTTAAAGAGTACAAGAAGACAAATGCATAAGCATTGGTGTTGCTTTTTTTCTAATATGTTGTCTATAAGTTTAATAGAAAATAAAGAGAGAGCGAACAAAATAGGCAACCCAACAGTTAGTTGCCCTGTACAAAAACCCACACAGGGGTCCAAAAAATGTTCTGTAATGAGAATGAGACAGTAGCCAATTACAAAAACAGGGACTAAGTGCTCAAAAAATTGCCAAAAATCCTGGAGGTGGTAGTGAGTGCTGCGCCCTCCCTAGCTAGGGCGTCGGCTGCTGCATTGGCTTCCCTGTATATATACCTCCATGAGACACTCGTAGCCCTGAATAAGTGTGAAATTTCGTCAAAGATCTTGTCAAGTCTCCAAGGACAAAGTGCTGAGCCGGAGGCCCAGGAGATGATGTATTTGGAGTCGCCCTTGTCTACCAATTCCGCACTCCAGCTAGGGTCGAAGTGTCTGAGACCAGCCATTTTCAAATAAGCAGTCTTCCACTAATTTGTATCATGGATAGATCAAAAGCAAAAACCATGTAAACAAATGCAGCATCATATGAAGCTTTTAGCAAGTCTCCAAGGTGAAGGACCTTTTCCCATTGAGCAACTACATCGCAAATCAACAGTCTTAACCTATGAAATGAAGAAGCTACATAGAATGAAATGGATGCCGAATAGAAGAGTATGGAATCTGTGCTTACATCAAATTTTCCAACATGCTGAAAGAGCTGGAGCAAAACAAGCCAGTCCGATGTTCCTGTATACACACTACCTGAAGTTTGATGGCAAGACCCTTTGAATCTAGCAAGCCCTTCCACCAGAAGTTAAACCTTGGGGAGGAATAATCACATTCATTAACAAACTTGTATATGCAGCATCTTCAGTTTTCCATACCTGGTCTCTATGTTGTCCCCCCAATCACATCCTAGTTGATCACTCGAAACAATCTTGCATGGTCCTTTCTAGTTCACCTGCGATTCCAGTTATTTCTTCCTTCCATGCATATCATGGTTTGCTCACTAGTCCAAAATAGTAATGCTGTTCCATCTCTCATATGAATGTTTGAACCAAATTGTATAGGTATCATAAACATAACAAAAAAATCTTGAGAAGAATCATCCCTCCCAAGCTTCCTAATGAAGTCAAGAAGAACAAGAAAAGTCCATTATTTCTTCCTCGCAAACAAACGATGTATATTTTATATGGAAATCAATGAGGCTAAAATTGATCATTTCTTAGAAGCTTATCTTCACGCCAACCAATCCAACTCTGCATAGGGCTCCATTACGCACATTCTCACAAGAATTTCCGTATCTTCATTTTCACTCTGATACAAATTTGAACAAACAAAAGAACAAAAAAAGGAGAAGCTCACATGCCAAGCTTCACAGAGAACTCTGGTTTAGCCAGGACCCTCTATCAATGATGCTCAACTCTCAATCAATACTCTCTAGACCCTGATCTATAAGTTGAACTTTACGTGGATGCCAATAAATCCTAATACTAATGTAAAACGAATTCCTATTCAAATTAAAAAGGACATGATAATTTTACCCTTGACAAAAATTAGAAATTCCATAATAACCCCACCACTTTTCCAATTAGGAAAGTCATAGCTTTCCAGTTTGGTATCGAAATCGCTATTATGACACCATTTCGAAAGCAACAACTTAAGTCCTATGACCCCATAAACAACTCAGTTAGTTTCACCTAGCAAACTAGGCCCAAAGATGACCCTAAAGGCCTGAACATCAGTCTTGAAGTTTGCTGCACAAAAGATGCCATGTCACCTAGATAATCCCGCATCACATTCAGATTCCTGCTTATAGTTCATGAAATACATTCCCAAATATATTCACTGCAGGGCACAAGACTACTGGCAATAGATTTTTCTATAACAGATTCTTCACTCAATTCCAAAAAACAGCTTATCATAACAAGATTCTTCTCACTTTTTCCTCCCAAGTATATGACAATTGGACTTATAATTTTGATGGACATTTTTCAGACATACTAGTAGATTAGAGCATAAGTAACATGCTGATTAGAGCAAAGGTTATAGTAGAACCAATCAACCAAGTATGCTCTTTATGGTCAGTGGCTGGTGCAAATTCACAATTTCCGAATTAGAGACCAGTGCCAAACCCATTAAAGAATAATAACGCTTATCCACGAAGGCAAACAACATTATACAACCAAGTTGACAACAAAAGTTTTAGAAGTTGTCAATATAGCTTGAACTACTTTGGATAGTGCAGACAAAATAAACTTTTTGATATATTCAATATGAGCTGCCTCCGATAACTCGTCTTCCCATCATAGATCCTTTTCAATATAGGCCCAAGTCTGCGAAACCTCTCCAGGGGACATCCCTAGACTAGTTTCCTGCTCCAAGTTCTATTGATTCTTTTCTTTCAGTATTTATACCTTGTTCATTTCACTATTTCACCACCTTCACCAATATAATCCTTTGCCATAATCTTGAAGTACGACACGCACATCCTTAAAGTCCCCAAAGCAACTCGGATCGTCCATTTCAAGTTCCAATCCTTCTATATCCTCAGCATATTACCTCCTCGCTACTATAGAAACATATTTACCGTTCACTATTTTCCTCCACAAAAACTTCTCTGCACCACTAACATGTGAGTGTCACCTAGAGAACATTACACTTTCATGCCTTAGAAGTATTGATGTGAGCCTTGTATTGATTAGAAATATGTCGATCCCTTGCTCCCAACACAAAAAAGCCTTTTGCATCTGTCAAGTTGTTGAGTTGCAGCTTCAACATTCAAAAGTCATGAAATAATTCCAAAGCCATGATCTTGCAGCTCTGAGAGATTAAGAAAGTGAAACACACAATAACAAAAGATTTTAATAAAATTGCCTCTGCAAACAACCCAACCAGTGTTAGAGGGAGCTATAGAATGAAAGGCCCATTGCAAAAGAAGAAACATCAATGATTCATAATGCCTTAAACATGGTGAAGAACACACTAGACCACCTTCATAAGAAGAGAAGACAATTAGTATATAAAAATTGCAACCAGATCAATATCTACTGAGAATGAAGTTCCCTCAGCAATATTGCACTGACAGAAAGATTGAAGTAGAATTTCCATAAACTTTCAAGCCTAACAATTATATAAAAATAAAAGAAAGATTCACACAAATAAGCTCCTCATCCTGACTCAAAGAAACATCAAATTACAAGTTTATTCTTCCTGTAAACCATTTCCAGGACTGGGATAGGGATACTGCTTAGGACATGCTCAACAAGAGTAAGGATGCCTGTGGGGAATCTGGCTGGAGAACAGATTTTTAGGTTTAGGATGGGAAAAATTTCTGGCAGAAAATTTTTTCTTGTGATCTCCATGGAAAAACATTGCCTGGAAATATTTTTCCTGGGATCCAATTTAGACACATTTGGAAGGCCAACAAGGTCCATATTTCAGGGCCTTAATTTGATGGCCTACAATCTGGATTCTAGGAATTTATGAGCTCTATGATACATGACTAAGCCTGCAACCCGAACCCTAGGAGCAAAGAGACATTTAAAGTCTTGGGTTGGATTCAAAATAATTCTGAGATGTAAGAGTCACCCTGGGGTCCAAGGCTACTACGAAACTATGTCATGTTACTCCAAAAGTTTGAAGTCTGCAGTTTCCTAGATGCAAAACTTGGTCTTCACTTGGATAGAATTCATATTCATCCCAAAACTAAGAAAACAAATCTCACAATTTCAAGATGGAACCAAGATATAACACTCCAACATATCATCTCTGTCTAAGCCAAATTGAAATAAAATGATGATGGTAACATTCCAAGAAGCACAACTCCAATTATTGCCCACACCAAGTGCAAAACTATTCCCCATTTCTTAGTGCAATTTTACCAGGAACCCCATGACATTCTAAGGGACTCTGCGAGCATGAAAGTTCGAGGAATACAAGCACCAGTGGAGAGTTATTGAGAAGGGGTGAGTGAGCTCAAGAAGTTTAAGTTAGATATCAAGCAGAGCACAGGCAAAAGTAGAAATGGATCTTCGAAGGTCTCAATTAACCCTTGGAGGCATCATATTGATAGTTACCAAACAAGTCATACCCTTCTACTGTAATAAAAACTTGAATAAAAAACTTAAAAATTAGGCATACATCATCCAATAAGAAAAGGGGATACTGCCTAACAATCGAGTTAGTACACCACAACAATGCCTATTGAATATGAAGTGCAAAGAAGTATAAGACATGCAAAGGGTGTAGCAAATTCACCTAATCGTTCACAACTGAAACAATAAG